GTCTATTCAAAGCTGCAGAAGAGAAAGGGATCCATTTGGATTGTATGATCATGTCATCATGGACAGTGGTTGCACAAACACCACCATTGGGAATGGTGAGCTCATGCATGGACTCCGTCATGCTGAGAAAGAACTTGATATGCACACTAAGGCCACTTCCACGCGAACCTGAATTGGATGACTGATGAGATGACTTTTCCATCAGTCGTGGCCAAAAATGCAGTTCCACACCACACAAACCCGAGACTGACAACGGATTTGCATCTTTATCAAAAGCTCTATCCAAAACAACATCTCCGTTGCTGTCTCTTCATATACAAAAATTGTTGCTGTTGGGCCACTCAAGACAGGACTAGCATGCTTTGGCGCCTTTAGACAGAATGCTTTTGCGCCCACTGAGGATTTGATTTGAATTTGAATATGAATATGAAATGAGCGCCCAAAAAAGCCACAAAAATGACACGACAACCAACATGATGGCCAGCTGTATTGAAACCAAAGACCCACATATCAAAGGATTGTTCTTGAGTAACAATGGTAGTTGATTATGATCTAGAAGCTGGTGTGTCTGTCATCACCAAAAATGTCAGGGCCCAGTATCTTAAGCAATTTGCAGTCCAAACTTTTGTCACAGCTAATACAGCTTTAATATAGAGTCCGCAAAAAATAAATAAAGTCTCCATGTATTGCTGGTAAAGAATTTTGTGCTTGCTGTGAATGCATACACCCATCTGGATGCATCCTTCCATTTTGAAATCATCATAAAGCAATGTTTGATGTACGACAATCTCAACCCCAACCCTAACCCTAACTGGAAGAATAAAAAAGAAATCAAAGCTGCTCGGATAAGTGCCCTTGCATATAAGGCAAAGATCAAGAAGATGTGTGTTCATGCTCCAAAGGAGAACGATCTGGTTCCATCTGGTGTCACTGATGTGTATAAGTGGAAATATCAAGAATAGGCCAAGAGTTTGTTTGAGGAGAAAGCAAAGATGCCCATCAGCAAATGGACACCCAGTTTGCAACCAACCACCATTGAATGGACAGCATTAAAGTTACTTGATTGTATTTCTCACCCCAACTTTTGTAATGCAGCTTCTGTGGAATTTCCTGTGGACCCTACTGACCCCACAACTGGGTTACCGTGAACAGACACAAGCAACGCACAATGGACAAGGCACAAGCCTCCGCAGATAGTGATTCTATGTCAGTGTGTGATACAAGAAGGATGAAGATGACGGCATTGAAGACAATTCATGCTGGTTTGCTGAAGCAACTCAAGCGCTGTAAGTCAGCAAATCAAGAATGTCTTTTGGAAAAGAAGCTTGGCAAGATGGACCACAAGATGCTATTGGAGGCTGACAAATTTGACAAGGTAGCAACAACTGGTTCCCTTTCAATTACTAGTAATCCGTTTGCTAGTATTGGTGGTAAGTCATCATCTCCCATTCCCATTGAGACTTCAGTCTCTTCAACTTTGGATAATGATGATGATGACAAAATTCCTACTTGGACCAGCAATTAGCTAGTAATATGATATGTAAACAAGGTCAAGGTCTCATTTCTTTGTTAGTTATCTATGTTCATTAAAATCTTTTCTAAGGGTGTCCCTGCTGTAGCTGAAGTGATCAACCAAAGCATCAATGCACTGTGCATGGCAGTTGAAAGTTTTGAAAATCACGTTCCTCCTGCAATTTGTTTGCAACATGTACAATGTCATCCTACTTATCAAAGTGGTGGTTTATGTTGGGCATAGTGCAGCAACAGTGGAACACAGTTTCAATTGTCTCCTTGTCATTGAACCTTGAACAATTTTTTAGACAAGCAAACCTCACCTTCAAGATACCAAACAAGCATTCCAAATCTTTCCTAAGCCTTTTGAGCCATTTGGAGTAGCGATAGTCTGCGGAACATGGAGTCTGTGACTTTTATTGAGGGATCAACTCTGGCCATTCAAGGTATCCACCATTGTAGATGACGTAAATCCCTTTCTGAACAACAACAGAACCACCTGTTGTGCAAGTCCGCCACACAAAATCCCTATACAGTGTTTGCTCCCCATACTTACCTACACCGTTGATATTTCAAATCATCTCATCATTGGTAACAATAGTCATGTCATTCCATGATCCCCAGAAGGCTTGGCTTACAGAGAGAACTCTTCTAGTGTGTGACACAATGACTTCAAAGGACAAAGTTGGATAGCCTTCTTTTCCGCACGCATCCAAACAGTAACTGTCTGAGCACCCATCCCAGCCAGCATGGACACAGTCAATTGATCCAATACATCCAGGAAAACCAAGTAGAGCATAAAAGTCCATTGCCTAGTTCAGGATAACAAAAATATAACAGAGCTCCATCAGTCAACATACAAGTTCCCGACATTGACAGGCAGACCAAAACTCACCTAAGCTATTGTTTGACTACACTCCGGAAACGTTAGTAGCATTTGCCGAACCAAAATCTAAACGTCATGAAAAAGAAATAGTTCTTGTGTCAGTCACCAGTTCCATCCAATCAAATGTGAGATGTTGAGTGAGGATTCCAAGGGAAACCATATTCTAGATCCTAGTATCAATTCTTCTTGTGCTATTTCTCCTCTTTAGTGCTCTGTATTCACCGTCTACATCCCAATCTTTGGCAATGGAATCAAAGGAGGAATGAGAGATACCAAACCTGCGCCAAAACCCTTTTGCTAGTGTGCTCTTCTGGTCCTGTATGGAGCCCATGTCATTTGCATTTTGCTCATCAGCATTCTTGATATAGACATTGGAGAATGGTCCAATGTAGGGATTCCTTGCCACTTTTGGAGCTCTTGGCCCCCTGCCCCTCATATCTTCCCTTTCATAACTAGACTTGGAGGATGATCCCTCATCTTTGTCAGAACCAAAATCAAACAAATCTGACATAATTTCCAACTCCAGGAGAAAGTCATCCATGCAAAGACATGGAATGGGTCGCTGATTGTGGAGCTACCATCACCCATGCTTGATTCAAGACTTGAGTCCATGCTAGAGTCAGTGTTTGATTACTGGTAGACATTCCACTGCTGCTGTTCATGGAGCTGTTGCTTGACTTTTTGCTTTACAGTTGCATTGGGTGTGGTGGTGGGGCACAATCAGTTTGACTTGATCAGTTTCAGTTTTCAATTTTTGTGACTGACCATATGCACTACGGTTTTGCGCTAGGGAAATCTGACATTGACACAAAGTGACATGCCGGCGCAATATGGGTTGCCTTTTGTTCGTATGAGTCGAACCTGTTGGGTTGGATGTCCGTCTGGCCTGCGTACGTTTGACTTGACAGAAAAATGTATGGAGAAATGGTGAAAAGTACTGTACCTGGTACACCTTCAATGAAATAAAAAAACTAAGCGGACATCAGCCGACTTCTGCAAAATATCTTGCAAAACTAATACCGCGATAATAATATCTTGTCAAACGCTACAATACACCATTCCTTGTTTGGGTTAGTAGGGATTTATCAAAATGTTTTCTCAGAAACTAATTAGATACAGTAAGAAATAACAATGGCACCATATCCTCATTAGTATGCCAACAACTAACTCGTCTGGTGGCAAACAAAGGTAAAGTAGGCTCCGACATCTCTGAAAATGCCCGAAACTACATCCTTCGCAGTAGGGATCTGATTGAAATTTCCTCTTTTGATGGCTGGGCCACTTTGCCCCGAGTTTGGACTGTCTTCCTTAGATGGGGAGAAGAATTGCCGTACTTTCTTCATTGGCTTAGATGAGGAGAAGAACTGCCGTGCTTTGCTGCTGCTGTCGCCGTCGCCTTTGTTGAAACCAGCGTCACTGTTATGGAGATCCACTGGCTCCAATCAGTCTCCGACTTATTCATTTCCCTCACTTCGTCTTTCTGCATGTAGTAACTCTTCGACAGCTGCTTTTCAAAACTTTTTCTGATGGCATAAAGGTGTACCACTTGTCTGAGATTCTTGATCGACGTCTTGATTGTCTGGCGTATTGTAATTCAACATCTGCGGAAGACAAAGCTCCGGATTGGAAGGCTGCAAGTGCACCTGCGGATAGGGGAAAAAGCAGAACTGCAAATAGGGACATCGTCAGCCACTGGAACAACGTTTGACAGTGTTGTAGTACTTATTTCTACAAAGTCTTTGAAACGCTTCAAGATCTTCTTTTTCTGGGTTCTTAGCGCATTCTCACTCCTTCTCCAAAGCTCATAAACATCACCCAACAATACATTATCTCGTGCTGCCAAGCAAAGATTAATTGTTGAAAGGACAAAATCTTTTGAAAACTGCTGGCATTTCCCCTTTCCAAACCATTCTATGCAAAATGTTTCACATTTATTTTTTCAAAGAAATCTTTTAGGAAATCTTTGTAGCTCTTTTGATTCAAAATCAAGTCATCCAATTCCTTGCGATGTATCTCAGTCTTCAATTGAATAGCATGATGTTGCAAGTGGATAGATTCTTGGTTGACGACTGTCAAGGACAGAATTGCCCTTGTACAACAGCAAAACTCGTGGTCTTGGTCTTTTGCAAGAAGGTTATCGACTTCTTCTTTCCCTCTTGGGGTTTCAGCAAGTTCACGGAGCTCATTTAGAAGATTTTCTTTTTTTACTGTTGATTTTGAGTGGCATTGGAGCAACGAGCAGATGTTTGGAGCAATAGTTCATGGCATTGTGTTGTTTACGACGATAGAATCTACTGAATTACATATACTGATAAAAATAGATCATTGTCATGCTGTTTGTTGAAGCTAAGGTATCAACTAAAGCCTGAAGAAATTTAAAACAAGTTCGAATTTTCCTGGGTTGGACCAAAGATTTGTGACAAGTTGTTGTGCTGATGAAGTCCCTTTATAGTCGAAGTTGTTGTCGGAGAAACATTGAGATGAAGACAAAGCGCGCCAGCCCTCCAGCTCAATGTTTCTCCAAAACCGTAGTGATGGCCAATTTATTAGTTTCTCATCAGGATTTTCAGCAAACTGGCCCAGTTTTGGAGAAAAACGATTGTGTGGAAATGGGTTTTCTTCAAAACGGAAACTGCATGTGGAAAAGTCCAAGCAATTGTCAGTTTCAGGTTTGTGTGGAAGTGGCCTAACATGGGCAGCAGAGTTTTCTAGGAAGATTTCCTGTCTATCACAATGAAGACGGAATTGCCAATGTACTTGCTATGTGCAAGATGAATGCTGTGGGATACCGCATTACCAGCATGGATACTGATGTTGATAATGCCTTTGGTGTGCATTGCAATGAAGACAGACAGATGCGATTTGTGAATTGTAAGGGTGTGTATATGTTGGAGCATTTTGGAGCAAATATGGAGGGTTAGGGTTAGGGTTACTGTTCGAAAGAACAAGGAATGATTCACTCCAAGACATGCTCCAAGCACCAAAAGTTTGAAGTATGCAGTCCAATCTGGTTTCATCAAGATCTGCCCTATCACTGAAGAAGCAATCAATCACGCGGAAGCAATCTTTGGACCTGACACATCTACATTGAAAGGCAAGTCAACAAGACCAACCCCCAAGAAGACACCCAATGACTTCTTCAGTCCACCAGAGGAATTGTATCAAAATAATCGATCAATTACCATGTGTATTGATCACATGGAGATCAGAGATGCTAAGTTTCTCGCCTGCATTGATACCACTGTGCGTTAATGCTCATGTATTCCAATGAAGGACCTGAAGACTGAACCTGTATTTGAAGAATTGGATAAGATTTTCCGCCGCTACAACAAGGCAGGCTTTCATGTCAAGACGATCAAGTGCAATTGGGCGTTCATCCCTCTAACGGATGATATGCTAGACAATATGTGTATTGCTATTGACCCAGCTGCAGCTGGAGACCATGAGCCTACAGCTGAGCAAACCAATAGAACACTGAAAGGAATCTTGCGCAATTACCCTACAAAGTGGTCCCAGTCATGATCACTTATTGTCTTGGATGTTGAGCCACCAAGCTATTGAAAGAAGAAGCGCAATGCTCAATGCAACGTCAAGCGCGAAGGACTACAAAAACGGCAAAACTCTTTGCCTTGAAGACAATACATGCTGGATTGCTGAAGCAGCTTAAGCATGCCAAGGGCAATTATCCACTTCAGGGCAAATTGCGTTCCCAGCTTGTTCAGATCTCTGCCAAGTTGCTTGAGGCTGCTGAAGTTGATCCAACGCCAGAGCCTGTTGATTGCTTCTATTGCTATTAGTCCCAGCATGGATTTTCCTAGTGCTACTGCTCTATCTACTCCTACTGACACTCCCAACGACAACAATTTAGATTAGTTAATACTTAGTAGTGACAACAATTTGGATTAGTAAACAATAAATATTAGTATTATAGGAAGCTAGTATTTTAAGAAAAAGATCTATGATCCGCATCAATGCAACTTGCATGGCTGTTGTCAATACAATTTGTCTCCCCTTGTTGTTCATTTGTTTGGAAGGCAATTGCTTCCTCCAATTCAACAGCATTGTGTACTTTTTTGTCATACCTATCATAGTGGCGGTTAATGTTGTGCATAATGCAACAGCAAACAAAGATGGTCTTGATTGTCTCCTTGTTGTGGAACCTCAAACAATTCTTGAGATCTGACAAGCAAACCGTTTCTTCAAGATCCCAAACAAACATTCAACATCTTTCCGAAGACTTTCAACCCATTTGGACCAGCGGGACAACGGTGTGCCATCAATCGTTGAATGGAGGAATGAATTCATGCCAATCAAGGTGTCCGCCGTCACAGATTACATAAACCGCTTGGTGCACAACTGTAGAACCATCCAATTCACGGGTGCAAAAGACAACAATTGCATACATAGGATCTTCCTTAATTCTACAAACCTGCTCATCCAATTTGACAATGGTTTTGTCATTCCACCTCAAAGGACAAAGTTGGAAAGCCTTCCTTGCCCTTTGCATCTACATGGTAGCCAGCTGAGAAACCATCCCAACCAACATGAACACAGTCAATAGATCCAATACATCCTGGTAAACCCAATAGAGTATAAAAGTCCATTACCTGGGAAAGAGATAAAACAACAAATCAACAACAAATACATTCATGTTTACATAGTGGAGCACACTTGACTCACCTTGGCTAATGCTTGGGGAACCGTATCCATACACTTTGATAGTGCTTACAGAGCCAAAAGATAAATTTATGAAGAAAACCATGACCCAGAGACTCGCTTACTTCCGTGAAAAGTTCCATCCAATCAAACGCAAGGTCTTGAGTATAGATTCCAAGTGAACCCATAATCAAAATTCGGCCGTCAATTCTTGCTCTTCCATTCCTACTCCTTTCTTCTTTGTATTCACCACTTCTATTCCAATTGTTGTAGACTTGATCAAAGTAACTGTAGGGAATGGCAAACCTTTGCCAAAACCCTTTAGCGAGAGTGCTCTCCTTGTCCCAAACTGAATCAAAAGCTGCAATAGCATAAATTCTTTGCTGGCAGTGGTAGACATTGTAAAATGGGGAGTTGTAGGGATCCCTTTTGACTCTTCGCGCTCTTGGACCCCGCCCTCTCATGTTCACTGATGATACTGATGAACTGCCTTTGGACAAACCCTCTCCATCAAAGACACCAAGATCAAACAAAAGCCAATGTTGTTGAAATCCAGTAGATTGCTTGACATGTGGTCGAGGCGGCCAAGAATCGTTTGACACAAAGGCGTATCTTTGATACAAAGAAGCACATTGAACAACAAGGCAAAAGGCCTCATTCCAGAGAAATCCCCATCAACAACGTCTTACCCAGTATCTATGAACACGACAACAACTGAATCACCCAACAACACACAACTTGTTGGCGTTTCATTCACTCACTATTATTCAGTCAGTCAAGGAAACAATCACAACAGTGAGAAGTTCCGAAAGCAGCATCCTCGTCAGAAGCTTTCTCCTTATTATTTTCATCAACCTTCAATTTTCCCTCACAGCAGCAGATCGAATCTTTTTGAGACAACACAGTTGCACAATGTCAAAACGTGAATCTATGCTCGTTCCAGAGGCCACTGAATGTGACTCCCTTCCATCTTTGTGGTTGGAGCATCAGGTGATTTGGCCAAGAAAAAGACGTATCTGTCACTCTTTGATTTGCATCGTCATGGATTCTTAATTTCCCACAAGACCATCATCTGCGGTTACGCTTGGTCTCCTAAATCAGATGAAGATTTCAGGGACCAGCTAATGCCTTACCTTAAGGATGGGACGGAGGAAGAAAAGAAAGAATTTTTGGATCTCTGCATTTACCGCAAGGGTGCCTACGATTCCACCGACGATGTGGCATCTGTATTTGAAGAGTTAAAAGAGAAGGAGGCCAAGCTGGGAGAAGGCGGCAAGGTCAACCGTCTCTTTTACTTTGCGATTCCACCGACTGTCTTTGTTCCCATGGGAAAGAGTATCAAAGAGGCTGTGATTGACCGAGCTGGAGAGTCGGTTGGATGGTCCCCTCTGATTGTGGAAAAACCATTTGGCAAGGATTCTGAATCCTTTCAAGAGCTTTTGAGCGACATGAAAGCCTTGTATTCGGAAGATTACATTTATTGCATTGACCACTTTTTGGGTAAGCCAGTGAGAAGTTGAAAGCATTCTATGTTTGGGTTTTGATTACTCGTTCTCACCATCCCTCTCTTTTGTGTGAATTACTCAAGGCAAGGAAATGGTCCAGAACTTGCTCATTCTGCAATTCTCAAACGCCATTTTTGAACCACTTTGGAATCGCAATCATGTCAAGAGCGTGACAATTACATTCAAGGAGAACTTTGGGACCAAGGGACGAGGTGGATATTTTGATTCGTATGGTATCATTCGCGATGTCATTCAGAATCACTTGCTCCAAGTTATGAGTCTAGTCGCTATGGAACCTCCTGTGAAAGTGACCGGCGAAGGTTCTGCAAATTACATTCATGACTGTGTGTTGGGACAGTACCTTGCCGCTCCCGATGGATCCAAAGTCGCCTACACTGAAGATGACACGGTTCCTGACGACAGTGTGACGCCAACCTTTGCCACCATTGTCTTGTGAATCAAGAATCCTAGATGGGATGGAGTTCCATTTATCATCAAAGCAGGAAAGGCCTTCAATGAAAGAAAAGCTGATATCCGAGTCCAATTCAAGATTGCCCATGGTTCCAGAAATTTGATTGATGGGCAAACTATCACTGAAAACGAATTGGTGATGCGACTTCAACCCAATGAGGCTGTGTATATCAAGACCAATGTCAAGAAGCCTGTTCTAGCCACCAAGCCCATCATGTCCGAATTGGATCTGAGCTACAAGGAGCGATATGATGTGGAACTTTTTGATGCCTACACTCGTCTCATACTGGAAGTCATTCGTAGACGCCAAGCTACCTTTGTGAGAGACGACGAACTAGAGGCATCTTGGGACATTTTCACACCCCTGTTGCACCAAATCGATGACGGCAAAGTCAATCCAATCTTTTACGAGTATGGCAGCCGCGGGCCTTCCAAATCTGATCAGTTGACAGAAAGAGTTGGGTACTACACATGGGAGAAGAACAAACAATTGGAGAGCAAGAAATCTAAATGTGAGAATGCTTATATCCTCTCATGCTAGTCCTAGTCCTAGTCTATTCTTTATTGATCGCCAATATTAATTTGTTTGCATTTTTGTCCCGCCTGGCACTTGATCCTTTCATTTGCTGTCTTGACTGCAACTGTTGGATATAGAGATCATTTCAAGCAATTCTTGAATTCAACATATTGGAGCAACATTGCTTTATACTAGCGCACCATGGCGTAGGTCACGTCTCCATACCAATGGCATGTACCCAGCACCAAAGTGACCAAATGGGTTGGTACCGCCCCTCCAAAACCAGAGGCAGAGGCTCCAAACCCCTACAAATGACCTTGTTGTGATGTAAAATGGTGTACTTTGAACAAGCACCATGGAAATTTAAAACAGTCAACCAAGTCACCTGAAATGTCAAGAGGTAGATCTATCAACAGGAAAGCAGAGCCGAGGACTTCTGCCATGGCAGGCACAATCCAAAACTACAGCCAAAGTTGATGGTAGCTTTTGTCGATGTCCTACTGGTCAGGGTTCGACACGGCAACTATGGGGAAGATTCTGGGCCTCTATGATGAAATTCAATCATTTTTACCCGACCGAGCAGACTGCACCATAGGTAGAAGTCCTAAAATCATTGCAACCAGACTATTTAAAGATGTCCCAACAAAACAGCAGCATACTTTAGATACAAGTAGCGCCTATTGTGACTTGCAACCCTAAGATATCCTTCTGTGTGGCCCTACCAGATTTACGCGGTAGAATCTGGAATGTTATGCCACGGCAAAGATCATTTTTTGGCATTTTACACCGGATTTTTGCATTTTGCCACAACTAAACGGTATGAAATGCGACGCTTTGAATATTGCAAGTCAAGATGGAAGTAGACAACCAGTGTATTTACTGTCAACTTTGCAATGGTGAAAACAATCTTGGATTGGTACAGCAAGTAAGGCTTGAATACAATGATCATGTACGCGTTGAGGTTGCCGACTTGGGAGATGCCATACATGCCAAGCAAAAGCGACTGTTTCAAAACTGTGATGCAGGATGAGACTTTTGTATCTATGGAAAAGGCACAACTTTGGAAAACTATAAAAGCAAGGATTCACTTAGGATTAGCACGGGACATCCTTTACAAATCCACTGCTTGTGGTTGTCCTAGAATTGCAACAGCAACATGCTTGTTTGAGTACTATTGAAAACAATGGTAAGCTGTGGAAGGAGAAACTAGTTATTCCAAATTATTCCATTCTTTTTGCTTTTTTATATCATTATTACTATATCATGAAGGTGGACTGCCTCCAATGACGCCAAGAGCGAGCACCACAAGAGCATTTGTTCCACCGTCCACAGACACCTCTGTGCTTTCAGGTCTGCCATCTACAGCTGAAGGCAAAGAAGAAGGTTTAGCCTATGTATCGCTGGACGATAATACTCACATGCAATGCACCAGCCATCCTCTGTGTGTAGAACTTCTTGAAGTATTGGAGGAAGAAACTGCCAAGGAAAAGAACAAAAATATGGATGCCAAGTACCGGCATGCTGCCAGCTACGTACATCAAGTGCGGAAATGAAGGCGGCACGATGAGAATGAAAGGTTTTACACCTGGTCAATGGCTACAGCAACACACTCGGTTCAGGAGCAGGGATACACTATGCTGCACCAAGGATTCATTGGAACTGGGTTTACCAATTCCGATCTCTCTTGTAGGTGTAAATGAAAAGATGTCACTGACAAGTCATGGCCAACTACAGCGGTGCCATTGAACTGTGAGTGGATACAAGGGGGCAGCTTGTCAACCAGCTTCTTTACCATCGTGCAATCGATACGGAACACCTTGAAAAAGATATCAACGGACCGATTCTTCTTCTTGCATTCAATTTGGAAACAGTTGAGCTAGATTTGGCTTTCCCAACTACTTTTGGCGGGAAACTAGCTCAAGACAAGGTCGTTTCATTACAGGACAAGAAGACCAACAAGAAGAAAGAGGCATTCTAGACTGTGCAAATAGTACGAATGAACTTTGCTGCAATGCAAGAGGCTTGAAAAAGGTGGATGCTCAGCAATACAAAACAGCCCGTGTGCAAATGAAGATGCCAATTGCTAAGAGCGATTCATGGAGCTTCAGTAATGATACGGGTGATGTTTGTTATTATGGCAAAAATGTCACAATTTTAACCACCCAAGTTCGTTTTCAAGGAATATTGCTACCATCTGCGACAAAAGGATGTTTTCATGTTGCTACCATCTGCGACAAAAGGATGTTTTCATGTTGCTACCATCTGTGACAAAAGGATGTTTTCATGTTGCCGCTTACAATTATTGCCGACGAAGACAAGAGACGGCCACCATCACAAACGCTCTTGAATTGTTTGGGAGAACCATACACTCATTGGAAGGTTTCCAAAGGACCTTTTGGCATTTCTGTTTTGAAATATCCCTTCATCAAATGGGGCTTCAGACAAGCCACACAAAGATGGATGGGTACAGATATTGACACAGGTACAGGCGATGCATGGCCAAAATTTTGTTCATGGGGATCTGCTACCTCGTAACGTGATATTTACCAATGACGAAGGATGCAATGACAAAGGATATGTGATAGACTTTGACCTCACAAGAGTGGTACTTGGAAAAAGGCGAAACATATGTCACAGGCTACAACTATTTCGACTTTGTTGCTTTTCGACACCCAGAAGCAGTGGCGGAAAAGCAAATGGCTAAAGCACATGATATTCATTCCCTTTGTATGATGAGCAGATATTTTTTTAACATAAGAGACAATTGGCTTGATGAATGCAATATTGGTGAACTCATCGCTTGGTTTAGCAAGAATACGGAGTCGGCACAAAACGTTTGCAATCATAAACTGTTGGACAACGAAGCAAGTGGTAGCCCAGATCGACCATAATATGGTTCACCCACGTCTATCATAAACTATGAATTGAATGTGTCTACCGGGCACTGCCAGTACCAATGCTGTTTTTACTTTTCTGCATAATACAATTTTGGAAATAATGTACATCCGTACAGAATCCCAGCAGGAACTTCAAACATGTCCAAATTGCACTGAATTTGGTTTGTATATAGATGAATCAGAATGACATGTCCAGTTATGTCATGGATTTGAAAATAAAGGGACAACAAATTGTAACAATGCTGATTTCAGGATTGTTTTCAATCTTGTCTAATAATGGGCACATGTTGTTCGAAAGATGAATGATTGATTTGTGGTAGTTATAAAACTGTGTAGAGAGTGAGTCTTTGGGATGACCAAAGGGAAGCTCAGAATGTTGTGTATAAAAATGAACTTATGTAGTTAGTTATCCAGGAAAACACAGGTCTTGACAGCAGCTATTAGGGAAGCAGTAGCTTTTGCCAAGGCTTCATCAGCGGCAAGACAAGTAGCAAAAGGCAAGAGCTGTGGACGTTTCATTCTGGCAAAGAAAAAACACACAAGCCAGCATGATATTTTGACACTTGCAGCTATTTTTCTTTCAAAAAAGAAACAGACCATGTGAAACACATGTAGAATTTGAACTTGGTCGCACGTATATTATGTGATCAGGTTCAAGCAATTCCTATATGGGTGTCAGTTCCATTAAAATGCGCTGCTCGTCAGCCAAAACAGATCAATTACTGGATGAAATAGAGACAAGGAAAACTTGTGACTACCAGATCCTTTCCGACTACAAAACTACACGTACGGAGGACAGACCACGTACTCCCATAATAATGGTCCCCTCAATGTTGACTTGATACAAGAATCAAGAAACATTGTAAAAATAATATAAAATGCAGTGTACCTCTTATGGAGGACGCCCAAGCCGACACAGTCCAAGGATGACCATGCCCACTGAAAGCAAAGGCAATTCATTGGCGTTAGTGTGGAGGCAGACCAAAAAGCACATTCAGAGCTTTTATCGTAGATTGTACCACTCTTGGAATTTTGTCTTCTTCATACATAATAAATTCCACCAGACGAGCGCGTTCTCTACCAGCAAGAATCTTTATTAACATGTTGGCAAGATTTGTTTTGGTTCCTTCCCAAGCAACTCGAATAAGATCACTTGCACATTTTGAACGAACATAATGATAATTCTGGGTGACTTGCGTTCATCACAACAGAGTTGTTATCAACAAGAGTATGGCAATGGCCATCAATTGGTACGCCCATCATTTGCAATTTGTATACTAGACCTTCAACCAATTCAACAACAGTCTTCAATGCAGCAAATTCACTTCCAAAAGAACTTGTTTCAACAGCATTCTGCTTCTTTGAATACCAAATGATCTGTGCATGATTTAAGAGGATAAGAACACCTGTTCTGGATTGATGCATAACAAGATTGGAGGCATGTGAGGCATCAACAAACATCACAATCTTTACCGCTCGTCCAAGGGCTTCTGGTATATCAGGAGGCAGTACTTCTTTTGCCCATAGATAGAATTCATGCCATTCAGATTTTGGTACGTCGGTCAGGGCCATATATGCGGAATCCATGACAATCTCGCGGCTCAGATGTGTTTCAAGATAACCAAAAAGGTGTAATACCGCATGAAAGTGCCCAACACGAGGCATGGCATTGTACAAAGACATCATTGAGACTTCAGCACAAACGTCCATTCTTCCAAGCTCAACTAAAAAAAGTAATATTCCAATCAGTTGCATATACAGTGTGTGTGTGTCTGTGTCAACAAAATCAGTGTTGTCAAGCTCAGGCTTATAACCAGAATGTAAGGCAGCAGACATGTCTCTTTTCATATTCAAGTTGTATTTTTGATGTGAGATTCCAGACTTAACGACACTTCGATGCGGTGCTTCCTACCTCCAGATCCAGTTCCCTCTATCTTCACGGTCTGGCAAGTCCTGCTGACCTCTGCACCAAATACCATGGCTGGGTCCCCGATGAGATTGAGGTACAGGGTGATGAAGCTGCCTTAGCCAATGCCTTGACCCAGGGACGTCTCCAAGTCATCAGTGACGTGTCATAAAAGATGAGCTTGGCACCGCCGCCATTCAGCTCCTTGCAAAGGATGGCACTGGTGGCACTGTTATCAGATGTCAAACTCCGGGTCTCCTTCAGGATCAGAGCGCCTACTGCTGCTGGGATTATGGCGGTTGATCCGGGTCTCCCTCAGGATCAGAGCGCCTACTGCAGCGAATTAATCTGCCTCCTTGCTGAGATTATGGCGGTTGATTCGCTATTCCATCAATGGGCCCCAGCTCATACCATGTTGCCGCGAGTCAGGATTGCATGTGACTGTCTTTTGGCTATTGCAATGGCGTTTGAAGACTGACCCCTGTCACCAACAGATGCCCAGTTTGATCTGGTCTCTTCCATCCTGGAGGTAATCTCCCGCTCTTTGGTATCTTGGTCCCCTAGCAGGTCTATGGGCACCTGGACAAATCCAACCTGTTTGATGAACTAACCTTGTGGGGAAAGAAGAACTTGGAAGTTGACAGAATGGCAGTGGACTTCCGCAAGGAACTTGAAGCAACCCACAAACTCATACCTCCCAATCCCCGTTTCTTCACTGAACTGGCTGCTCTTTTGTGGCTGACAAAAACGCACTACCAGTTGAGTGATCAGTTCATTCAGGAATGTGTTACACTCCCTTGCCTTTGTCAGCATTGGAGGGACCACAAGGTAATCTCTGAGGAGGCCGAAAGCCTCATTGCTTGGGATACCGTTGAACGCGCTATGAGGCCACTTTGCTTGTGTCAACCCATGGGATACATCGCTCAACTTTGTTGTTGGAACAGCGTAGATGCCACCAATTTCACCAGTTCTTCCATTGTTGAAATCAGCGAAGCATTTCATGCCCATGGATTTCTTGTCT